CTTTTTGTATATTTTTATCAGTATTATTTCTATTTAGTTTATTTTTATTTTTAATTATAGTTTAAATTAAATTCATTTATAAATATAAAAGTTATTTAAATTTATCAAATAAAAAATTTAAAATATTTATATTTAATAATATAATATATTTAAAAAATTATATTAACTAATATTTTTTATATTTATATAAAATAAATGAAAAAAAAACTTATTAGCGCCTTATTTCTTTAGTTTCCCTCCTAAACCCTTAGAGTGAAATTGCCCCTTCTCTTCCCAATCCCTACTTCTCCACTCTTCTTCAAACCCAAACCGTTCATCTGTTTCTCCCTTCTTCCTCGCTGCTGTCAACCAGGCCGAACCGGACCGCCTCCCTCAAACCACCGCCCGCAAGGTCCAGGTACTCAACTCAATCACCGTATCTATTATTTGAAGGTGTAAATTTTGTAACTGATAATGAAACTCCTGCTGCCATATCCATATGTTTTTATTACGTTGTCAGCTACATTTTGTTTTTCCCATGGCGCATTTCAACTCTCTGTTTTTATTTGCAAACAGTCGGTTGCATTTCTGGCGGCAGACTCTGAGTTGCGGTGAGTTGCGGAATCGTTCCGAGTCTTGACGACACAGTGCTTCTGAGGTATAATTTTAAAACATCGTGTGTATATGTATATATATTAAAATTATTAAATTTTTAATGGAAGAGACTAAAATCGTACAATCGTAATATTTGAGGGACTAAAACTGTCCGATTAAAAATTGAAGGACCAAAATCGCACAATTGCAATCTTTTAGGATTAAAATTACCCAATTAAAACTTTAGAGATCAAAATTGCTCAATTATAATACTTGAGAGATAAAAAACGCAATTAAGCCTAAAAACTAAATAGATAAAGAGTATGTGTTTTAGAAGTTAAAGGACAAAATGGTTAATAAAATATGTACAATAAAAATAAATACCACCTTTATCTATAATAATCTATACTAATATATAAAGGGATACCCTTTTCGGTAACCACCATGGTCTCCAATTTTTTGGACCATTATACCCTTGTATTTTAGAAAATTAGAAAAAATATTTTTTAATCAAAATTTAAATACTTGAAACTAATGAATCTATACTAATATATAAAGGAGATACAACTTTCAATAACTACTTTTGATTTTCATTTTTATATGGACTATTTTATTTTTTGTTTATTTTTCAATAACTACCTTTTTTATGAGCAACTTCTCATTTTTTTCTTTTTTATTTATTTTTTCTTTTAATACAATGCAGACATGGATTGCCTTTTTCAATAATTATAATAGATTCACATGTCACAAACGGACTATGGTTTTTCGACATTACATTTTAAGCGTTCTTATGTCTGGGTTCTCTTTTGTTGCTCTCTTTCATCTGCTTCTTCTCCCTTCGATGATCCCTTCGATGATCAAAAGGCGACACAGAAACAATAGCAGAACAACGCAAAGAGGCTGAAGAACACGTACAGGTGCAAGTAGAATCTTTCATAAATGAATTGATTTTGCTTATCTGATACAATTCAGGCATGAAATGCCTTTTTCCTGCTAGTTTATTAATAACATTGATATTTCAACACAATTCTACTACTAAAAAAAACCCTTAATACATGTAAATTCATTTTGCAAGAATCTTCTAATGAGGAAGACAATGAACAACCCATATTTGTAGTGGTCAAGAAGAGGAAGAACCTCAACCCCAAAGCCACCTCTAAGTGTCTACGAAATAAGGCAAAAATCTTTGAATCTTTAGAGGAAACCATACTTGAACCCATTATTCAAGAAGCCACACCAGGCAGACTTATTGTTTAGGAATACACCGTCCACAACCTTTATTTTGAACCCATTATTCCTGAGTATACCCAAACACAAACCCAAATAAACACTAGTTGAAAACACAACAACCACCTCTCCCTATACCCCCTACTTCCCTCGAGCTTAGAAAAAGAAAATTCAACATCATCTTAAACTTACCCTCCATCCAATCAAAGATGAGTCAAACAGTCGCTTGATATTACAAGGAAAGACGATAAAGATAAATAAAACAAACTTGTAAGTTAGACTTAAAGTATGGCTTTTTGACCAAAATAAATAAATTTATATTAAATACTGGAAATAAATTTTAAAAAAATTTATTTACCATTTTAGGTTGTTTCGTCCACGTGGCACTGGAAACAAATGGCGCAGGAGTAGTGGGTGCAACCTAAAATACACAGTTGGCGCAGGGGGTGGAGGGTAGGGATGGCAACGGGGCGGGTCAAGTACGGGTTTCATGATACCCGTCCTCATCCCCGCGAGTAAAACTCATCCCCGTTCCCATACCCGTACCCGTCGGATATGTGATTTTCATCCCCATCCCCGTCTCCGTCAGGTATCGGGTATACCCGTCCTTACCCGTACCTGTCAATTTTTTTTATTTTTTATTTTTTATAAAAAAAATATGATATTTTTAAATTAGTTTTTTATTATATTATAATTATAATTAAGTTATTTCTCTATCTCATATTATAAATCGGGTATTCTCCATCAAAGTCGGGATAGGTTTGTTCGGGTTTTTATAAATTCTACGTGGCTTTCTTCTGCTTTCTTCGCTTTTGTGCGAGGACGAGAATCACGCTTCTCCCCCCTTTTCTTCGCCTTTTCGTCGTTGCAAATCACCGGAAACGAACAACAAGTTTCTTCGCCTTTCTTTGCTCGTGAACAGTAAATCCATGGAAACAAACACTACCTTAGAGTGAAATTGCCCCTTCTCTTCCCAATCCCTACTTCTCCACTCTTCTTCAAACCCAAGCCGTTCATCTGTTCCGCCCTTCTTCCTCGCTGCCGTCAACCAGGCCGAACCGGACCGCCTCCCTCAAACCACCGCCCGCAAGGTCCAGGTACTCAACTCAATCACCGTATCTATTATTTGAAGGTGTAAATTTTGTAACTGATAATGAATACTCCATATGTTTTTATTGCGCTGTCAGCTACATTTTGTTTTTTCCATGGGGCATTTCAGTGAACATATTCAACTCTATGTTTTTATTTGCAAACAGTCGGTTGCGTTTCCGGTGGTAGACTCCGAGTTGCAGTGAGTTGCGGAATCGTTCCGAGTCTTAACGACACAGTGCTTCTGAGGAAGAGACCTAGAAGCGGTTCCGCTAGTGGAAGCGACTACAACCTTATGGTGGGTCTGGTTCTGGTTTGGAGGTAGCGGTTTCTCTTCTTCTTGGTTGGTTTGGGCTTGTTGCTCGAGCCATCGCTCTTGTAGTTGAGCGAGAGTGACATAGTTGGAAGGTAAAGAAGCTTGATTTTTTCTCTTTTCCATTGATACACTCTCACACACACGCTCTGTTCAAGTTATTTGATTTATTTATGCTTTACTCCTTTGCTGATCTGGCTATCATTGCAATTTGGAAACACAAGTAAAGCGGTCTACTCGAAACCGTAACTTCCAGGATAAGTTAATTGAAAATTAAAATATTATTCTTGTTTTTTATATGCTTGACTCTTGGGACAGAAGATTGTGCTTTAAAGTATAAACAACAGAATGATTGCAACCTTGATTAATAAATTTGGAGCCACTTTTAGATTATCAATAGTTGTAAACCTCAAAATTGATTTTGTTCTCTTGAAAAAGTTTTAGTTTCCATTCTTGTTAGTTGTTACTATTCTTTCTATTTTGTTTTCCATTAATTGTCTGTTTATTGTACTCTTTAATATTTAATTGTTATGATAAAGTTGTACTCTTCACTATGAGTTGTATTTGATTGGAAACCTTAACATGAATTTTCTTTACTTGATGAAATTATAGTCTGTGAATGGCTATCTGTTTACATGAATTCCAATGCATGCAGACAGAGAAGCATGTTACTAGGTGACTCCGGGAAAACATCCTTTTGATACTGGACTGATGGAAATACAAGCATGCGGATAATCTACACTTTTTTTGGGTTATAAAGCTCCAGTGTTCTTATTTTTGCTATTTGTGAAAATCCTTTGGACCAGCAACAGTTATAGTACTGTAAGCAAATTAGTTGTGGTCCAGTGGATTTGGAAATACCCGTGACAGGTCTAGAAAAATGTTATAGATAGCAAAGCATTTGCTAAAGTTTCAAAAGCTTGAACTGCAATCTAGCATAAAATTTCATAGTCACTCCTCTTGGAAGGCAACATAACTAATTTTCCTTTCATTTTGAACCATGAAACTGAGATACAAAAATATAAATCTTGCTTGTGTTATTTGCCAATTAGTTCAAATGGCCACGTGTTTTTAAATTACCTTTTTACTGTTGGTCTACTATAATTGTCGTATGCTTGAACTGATATTTAAATTACCTTTGGATTGTTCATTCTATAGGACTGTGTTGCTTTGCTGGCATATGAACAGCCTTCGGAATCCTACTAACTTCATGTAAGGCAAGTAATTTATTATAACCTTGCTTTTTGAGGGTTGCTAGGAATAACTTTAAATGATGAAAATGAAGTGGGTTGAATTTTATTTTTATGGTTAGCATATGCTTTTATATTGAATGAGTTGAAAACTAAACATCAAAACCTTAATTTTAATATTAATGTATATTTTTGTCAGTTTATTTATATATTTTGTTCATAAATGTCATTAATGTGGATAATAAGGTAATTATGAGTGTAAAATGTACCATTTTGTTTTAGCTTTTATCTTTAGCTTTTTGTATATTTTTATCAGTATTATTTCTATTTAGTTTATTTTTATTTTTAATTATAGTTTAAATTAAATTCATTTATAAATATAAAAGTTATTTAAATTTATCAAATAAAAAATTTAAAATATTTATATTTAATAATATAATATATTTAAAAAATTATATTAACTAATATTTTTTATATTTATATAAAATAAATGAAAAAAAAACTTATTAGCGCCTTATTTCTTTAGTTTCCCTCCTAAACCCTTAGAGTGAAATTGCCCCTTCTCTTCCCAATCCCTACTTCTCCACTCTTCTTCAAACCCAAACCGTTCATCTGTTTCTCCCTTCTTCCTCGCTGCTGTCAACCAGGCCGAACCGGACCGCCTCCCTCAAACCACCGCCCGCAAGGTCTACGTACTCAACTCAATCACCGTATCTATTATTTGAAGGTGTAAATTTTGTAACTGATAATGAAACTCCTGCTGCCATATCCATATGTTTTTATTACGTTGTCAGCTACATTTTGTTTTTCCCATGGCGCATTTCAACTCTCTGTTTTTATTTGCAAACAGTCGGTTGCATTTCTGCTGTGTTAGGAGAAGATACCCTTTGTAATAATCGATTATCTTGAAAATAATTGATTATCCATATTAGATTGCGTCTTTAAGGGGATTTTGCTGATGTAAATAATCGATTATTTGCATAAATAATGATTATCTGGGCGGTTTTTGAAATTCCTAAAACATTTAAACGGTTAAATATGCGCCAAACCCTTGGAACCTCCTATCACTCCCACTTAGAAGCTGTTAGGGCATAAACCTTCTCTTCTCTCATTTTCTCTCATTCTCTCTCAAACCCACAAACCCTAACCCTCTCAAAACCTGTCAAATCTCTCATTTTCTTCATCTTCTTCAATACCCACTCATGGCATCTTCATCAAAGAAACCAAAGAAGCTTGAAGTGAGGGGGAGCAAACGGCCTCTACCCTCTGGGCAACTGATTACGAAATGGTTTGCTGATGAGAAGGCTCAAGAGTACTATTTTGAGTGGTACGCCGGGCGTAGAATCATTCCTCCGAAGACTCTTAAACTTCAATGGTTTACGAACGAGGGTTTTAGTTTTCCAACCCTTCTAGAGCACTAAGAACTGGGCAAGTTTTTGGAAATGGAGGGTCCCTACTATCCTGAGTTAATCAGGTTATTTCTCTATTTCGCCTCGAGTAACGACGGCATCATGCAATCGGTGGTGAAAGGAAAGCTGATTAAGTTGGACAGGCCAACGTTGAAGGCTGCTGCGGGGCTAAGCGGCACTGGACGGGAGAAACCCCAACCTTTCAATTTTGGGGATTTTGAAGAGCTGATTACCTTCCGGGACTGTCAAAGGAACCTAGTGAACACCAACTATGAGAAGTTTCTGGCGGGAGGTATGAAAAAGAATTCCCATTTGATTTCTTTCATAATTGCTTGGATGTTGAAACCTAGATTGCATAATCATGCTCAAATGTCACGGGATGACATTCTGTTAATGCATGTTATTAAAAAGAAAATCAAGATCGATTGGGTATCGGTCGTAAATGATTGTATATGGAAAGCTAGGCGGAAGAAAGATGGTCTGATTCCGTATGCTCTGTTATTGTCCAAGATTTTTGAGAATGCTAGTGTGGATTTATTTGGGGAAAGGAAAATTCTTTTACATGCTTCAAACAAAATAGAGAAGTCTTCTTTGCATCACATGGGGATGCTTAAACAAGAAGATAAATGGGTGTTCAAAGGCGATGTACCCCCTACCCCGGAGCAGGCAACTGATGAAGACGGTGTTCCGTCACATGATGCGGATCAGCCACCACAGGTGGAAGCTGAACCTAACAGGGAGACTGAAGCGGAGCCAAAACTGTTTTCACCATTTGAGCAAATCATGATAAACAAGCCGGATGCGGTAATGGAAATGTCAAGGAGACATGAATCTTTGTTTTCTGGTATTCTTGACAGGTTTGATGATCTGGATCATGAAGTAAGGCTGCTCAAGACCTATCTTGGCATACCAGAGGATGAAGATTGATTACTATTTTGATGTTTGATAATTAGTTTTAATTAGGATTTTAAATTCTATTTTTGAACAATTAATTTCGATTTGGTTGTAATGTTTTCAATTTCTGAACATTTTAATGTTTTCTGGTGTTGAACAATTAAATTCTGATGAAATTTGGACTTTATTTTGCTGATTTGTTGTTTTGAATGTGGTATCATAATTCTGTTTTGCTTGACTGATGCAAAAATGCTCTGGTTTTAAGAGCATGTGTGAATGCTCTATTTTGAAGTTTGATGAGCAAATTGAGCCTTGGTTGATGGCTGATTACAATACTCTGTTTTGAGTAAAAATGATTGTCATAATTGATTCATAGTTGATGGTATCATGGTTGATGTATATGATACTCTGTTCTGTGATTGTTTAGAATTGAATGAGTTTGGATTGCTGAATCCATAATTCTGACTTGGATATTGTGATACATAGCTTGATTTGTTTTTGATAATGCCAAAGGGGGAGAAAAGGTAGTTGTGTGGTTAGTTGTTATTTTTGCAGGTATTGTGCTTGTTGTGTGTGTATTGTGTAGGTTTTGTATGTTGGAATTAAAGAAGCATTGGATTGACATGATTTGAGTCATGGGTTGTCATCATCAAAAAGGGGGAGAGATAATACATTGTTTGTAAAGAAATTTAAGAACGATACAATGTATGTTCAAATCTATGTGGATGACATTGTTTTTTGATCTACTAATCTCTCTCTATGTAAAGAATTTGCTAAGACCATACAAGGTGAATTTGAGATGTCCATTATGGGAGAGCTTACATTTTTCTTGGGATTACAAATTAAGCAAATGAGTGATGGAATCTTTATAAGTCAAAGAAAATATTGAAATGAACTATTGAAAAAGTTTGGTATGGAAGGGTGTAAGGAGGCTGCAACACCAATATCAAACTCATGCAAATTTGACTTGGATGAGAAAGGGATAGCTGTTGATAAATTCAAATACAGAGGTATTATTGGATATTTTTTATATTTGATAGCTAATAGACCTGATATAATGTTTGTTGTGAGCTTGTGTGCAAGATCTCAGTCAAATCCAAAAGAGTCTCATATGAAATCTGTTAAAAGAATTCTTAAATATCTAAGAGGAACAACAAATGTAGGACTATGGTATCCAAAATGAGTCTCACTAAGTCTAATAGGATATTTAGATTCAGACTATGCTGGGTCTAGACTTGATAGGAAGAGTACAAGTGGTACTTGTCACCTACTTGGAAGTGCACTTATGGCATAGCAAAAAGCAAGCATGTGTTTCTTTAAGTACAGCTGAGGCTGAATACATAGCCGCTGGCAGCTATTGTGCACAAATCCTCTAGATGAAATAACAACAAAAAGATTATGGAACTAAATTGAACAAAATTCCTTTAAGATGTGACAACACAAGTGCAATCAATCTCAAAAAATCCAATATTACATTCCAGGACAAAGCATATAGAAATAAGACATCATTTTTTAAGAGATCATGTCCAAAAGAATGATTGTACAGTAGAGCTTGTTGAAACAAATAAAAAATTAGCTGATATATTTACAAAACCTCTACCAAAAGAAAGATTTAATCAATTGAGAATTGAACTTGGAATTATCAATGAGTCTTGTTTGAATTGATTGTGAATATGCACTTGAGTGTGATTGTTTGAATAAAAATTGATTGATGTGTGTATAAAACATTGAAATGTGGTTTATAAAAGAGTGTTTTTAAGAGATGAAATGAATAAGGAAAGTTTTATAAGGTTTAAAGTAGTGAAACAAAATTTTCTAAATAATCGATTATTGTAAAATTTAATCGATTATTTTAAGTAAGACTAGGCAAATAATCGATTATTCTGCAAATAATCGATTATCTGGGAAGAATTTGAATTCCATAAGTCTCTAGAATAATCGATTATTTGGAAAATAATTGATTATCTGGGAAGGTTAGAAAGAGTTAGTCTCTGGAATAATCAATTATTCCTGAAATAATCGATTATCTGGGAGCAAAAATGAGACATGAGTCTCTGGAAGAATCGGCTATTCTGGAAATAATCGATTATTCAGTGCAGATAGGGTTTTGAAACTGATTTTACTGATACAAATAATTGATTATTTGTATAGATAATAGATTATTTACACGACACTTGGTTTTCTAGACGGTTTTTGAACGGTTTTATTCGCGCCAACTCACTACTACAATTTGAATCATCGAAGTCGTTGAATCTAAGACGGTTTATTAAAAATCGATGTAGAATAAGATGCGGTGGCATTTTTGTAAATAAAAGGAATATAATCTACGACGGTTTAAATTGTAACCATAGTAGAATAGCCTATACGAACATATCTACGACGATTTATTGTAAAACTGACTTAGATGATAAGTGATCTACGACGATTTTTGTGTAAAACCGACTTAGATAAAGACCCAAAATTTACGTGTGCGTTCTCTCTCAGTTCATACGCGCCCTTCAGTCTCCCACCCACAGCCCTGGTGTTCTAGACTTGAATCCAAATTGATGTTGGTAGTGCAGGCACAGAGAAACAAATAGCATGAGGCTCGAGCGAGTTGGTTATTTGTTCGCATTGAGTTTGTACTAAGTAGTAACTAGTGAACGAGCGAGTCACCGAAAGTCTGAACCGCAACAACCAAAATCAAATCGAGGGAATGAGGATCGTTGGACTCACAGGTGGAATACTGTCAGGGAAGAGAACTGTTTCGAATCACTTCAAATCGCACAGCGTTCCCATCGTCGACGTCGACATCATCGCTCGCGTAAGTTCCTTCTCTCTTGCTTCAAATCGCACGGCGTTTTCGCTCATTTACGCTA